TTTTTGTTTTTTTTTTTCTAATGAAAAGACACAGTTCTTGTTGGAAGTGTCAGCAGCAATCCCATGCCTCTCCCCGATTCCCCAGCACTTACAGCATCCCTTTTCTCTCCCAGTTCCAGGACTGAAGTTTTCCCTTGCTTAACTCCCCGCGACTGCTTTCTAAAACACAAGTGTTTGGCCCATTTCTCCAGACTAATGTCTTCACAGACTCCCACCTGGAGTGGTCCTGTCCCTGCGGTGACGAGAGGGACCATTGCATTTCTGGAGCTGGACAGGGTGGCTGCACCTTGTGGGAGTGTGTGAGGAGGAGGTGCAGCAGGGCCGGACACTGCAATGGTTCGGACCATGATTACCGTGTAGAAATGGATGGGCCGGTGGCACCTGTCTGAGCACTGGGCTGAAGAGCAGAGAGTTGTGATACTGGGGTGCGTGCACAAGTGATTGAAGCTGCCTGAGCTGTTTTTCTCCATCTCCTTTGCACAGTAGTACGCGTTAGCTATCAGCGCTACTATCTTGACTCCACCAGTGGGGTATAGTTAGTATAGCTTTGCATTTGCTTTTCTTCCTCCTAAAGAACTGCAGCTCTTTCCTGTAGTGCCAGTCTTATACAGTATAGACGTCTGTGACGAGATACTTGCTGTTCAGAGGGCGAGCAGGAAAACTCCCGACTTGGCTAGAAGTTTCTCACTAGACAGGTGGCCATCTGGAAGTACGGCGCTGCCAGCATCTTTGGTATCTTCACAGCGCTTGGAACTGTCTCCATCTGTGGTGCAGATGGTGACTGCCTTCTTCAAAAGAAAAAGTTGAATGAAAACAGCCGTTTTCTTGAGATTTTGCCAGAGTCAGCCCAGAAGCAAATACATCATTTAGTTCCTTCCCCTATGCAAGCGGACATTGGAAAGGCAGGCCAAGGCAGTAGGTGAAGAGAAGAGATGATGCACATCAGCAGGGAGGGGTGGATTAGCAAGTCAGCCATACACAAATGTGATTTTACATTATGCTTGTGAATTCCTAGAGACATGATGGGCCCTAGGGGTAGATCCAGGAACTGAGGGGAAAGGCTTGAAAAAAGCAATGACCTAGTGATCAGGCGGTGGGAAGAGAAGCAAGGGCAGCACAGGATCTCTCCAAAGGAAAATGAAATCTGAAGAAATGGGAAGTGCATAATACTCACAATGCCAGGAGACCAACAGTGTTAAAGTCTGTGCTGAAACTTGGCTGGAGTAATTGGTAGAAGCCCACAGTGTAGTTTTCCTAAACTACAAAATGTTTTTAATTAAGGGTTTAATTAAATCTCTCTTTTTTCTTTTCCTTTCTTTTTTTGTCCTGCTCTTGCTTCAGAAGAGCGTGGATGTGGCTGAGAAGGCCTGCCTCCCTCTTGTTGACATATGCAGTTTCTGTTGCATGAAACAAAGAAAGGCACTGGCAGTGTATTTGCTGGATCTTGCTCGTAGGACACCCACATTTTTTTCCTCCTGAAAGAACTGGTTGCTCAAACACTTACACTTTTGTAAATGAAGAATTCAACCAACAAGGAAATATGCTAATCGTTTTCTAAGCTGCTAATAACTGCAGCTTACCAAAGTGCAGGGGCATTATAGAAATGACACCAATTACTCTGCTGCATCTTGATTTAAACAGAGGGAGATGAATGCACATTCAGAAACTGTTTAAATGTAACAGTGACTTTTGGAAAGCCTGAATCTAGATTAGCGGTGTGTGCTAATCACTGTTAATGCTGTATTGCTGACTACAGTTAAGATTGAATGCAGGCCTTTTCCCAACTTACCGGCCTTTGTAGTGAGGCAGACTCGGAAAAGCACCCTCCCTATAGGAATCAAATACAAAGTTGTTGGTACATATCTACTGCAGATGGAATAAAAGCAGACCTGTGGCAGGCTGGCCTGCCTCCACAAAGCAGTCAAGGTGGGGGGGTCCCTGTCCCTCCCACTGCCCTTCCTCCTCCTCCAAGCCTCCTCCCACTTGTGGTAGCATCATCCCAACAGGCACCATTTTCCCAGACCCTTCTGGACCCTCCTGAACAGGCTCTGTGGCCGGGACTGACTAAAAAAGTTTGTTTTGTCAGTTCCTCCCATCCTCATGATTTTCTTGGTTATTTTCTCCAGATAACTGGTCGATATATGGAGCATCGCCTTGTTATCGTGACGTCATGAAATTGTCCCCAGATCTTATGAGAATGTATTGAGGGAAAGCTGACATTTTTTTTATAATATTTTTCCCTCTTCCGCCACTTCTTCAGCATCTCTTCCCTGCTGAGACCCCTCCTCACTGCTCTCAGTTCCTAGTTTCTGGCAAAGAAAGTCTTCTTCCCATAAGTACCAGTGTTTCCTGATATGTTTTACTGTCTAAATAGATACTTGCTCTATTACGTGTGCCATGCTAATTACCCAGACACATGTGCTTTCAGAATCAGTGCTATCGTAATTGCGTGCCCTGATTAGATAGTTACTTGTATATGCCTTCATTGTGAGCTACGAATTGCAGCTATGATAAGAGGATGGACTCTTACTTATTAAGAAATTAGCTGATAAAATACTTCATCTTTGGTTCTGTTCTCTAAAAGTAACATGAATAGCCAGATGTGACATCACCTGAAATGGTTCATACATTAGTACAGTGATGCAAATAGACATACTTTAATGCCTGGAGTCTCTAAACATTTTCCTAGCTGCATTGTACAGTGGTATTAGAAGTACAGTGTCCAGTGGTCCCTCAGCTCAGCTTCAGCTTCAAGTTCAGCTCTGCAGAAGATGTGATTTAGTGATTGAGTGTATTGTCTGGGATGCATAATTTTAATATATCATTTTCTGCATCCATTGGAGACCTGGCCACAGAGAATGTGTAGTTCCAAATGTCACTAGTGGTTTTGATCCATCGGATTAGAAGCAATCGTTAGCAGAAGCCTGATGGCATACTCCTTGTTCATGCTAGAGAGGACCACCAGCAGTCCCACACTGACACTTACGTCCCTTTGCACAGACTGCACCGGGTAACAGCATCCCTGGTTCTGCACCAGTGAGGTAGCCAGAGCAGGTTTAAACCTTAATATCAGACTTGCCATCTTCATCCTGTTACCTGAGTACCTGCTGTGTCGCGTCACCACAAGCTCTGCAGGTTGATCAAGAGCAGTTCTTGCCCCTCCAGGTTAAAAGAATGGCTATTCTTTCATGCCTACTGTGCCCACTCAAAAGAGTTAGGACTTCTTATACCAGCTCTTCTATGTATGTCAGACAAAGCTATGCTTTCTCACATACATCCTTAGTGGGATTAGGGAAAAAATTGACCACGTTTAGATGTTTAAATAGTGAAATATATAATAACCTTTAAGAAAAGCGCTGCTAGAAACTTAAGGTAGAGAACTGTTAGATTCAACAAAGTAAAATGAAACCAACCGGGTAGGTTAACTAAAGTAAACAATCAAAAGCAGGTTGGTTGTTTTTTGTTTGCAAAGTTTTTCCTGCTCTGTAAGCACAATGAAGGAGAAAATATCCAATGGTTGAAGCCAGCGTTATCTTCAAGCGCATGACAACTGCAAAATTTGGCAGAAAGCTCATTCAAAGTGTGTTTAGAAAGAGAGCTCTTCTATCTGGCTGTAATTCCCTGTCAAATGCATTTTATTGCCTGGGTAAACCCAGAGGCAGTGTGATTGCACAGGTCACTGGTAAATGCCATTCTGCTTGTAGCTGATCATTTTCTGCTGTAGTGTTTACTAAAAACGTGCATGATAAATGACAGCAAGGGAGTGTGGCTAGCAGACAATGGTGGCCATTGTTGGTTATCCACTGTGTTTTACAGTTTTGCTCAGTGTTTGCTACCCAAACCTGTGCCTCAGCAGTCATACTACATAAAAACACGTGTGGAAAAAAGAGTTAGGGGAACAGATGTATCGAGTTTCTGTTTCAAAGACGTGGACAGACATGCGGCTTTCAGTTGTTTTCATGTGCTGCTGTGTTCTGATGAGGAGTTACCAAATTCTCCTTTAAAAACAATGCTGAAAATGACCTTTTCGTTTCTTTTGGTACCTTCTTTGTTTACCTTTCAGCAATTAAGAATTATTGAGAATTTCACTGATTTGTTGTCAGCTCAGTGAAAAATTTCTTCCAACTTTACTCCCAGAAAGTTCAGCTGGCTGTTTGACAGGTAAAATCTGCCCCGTACCAGAACAGAAGTGCAGTCCTTGAGACCAAAGGCGACCCACCAGGGAGGAATACGGAACCAGCGCATCTGCAGTGTAGAGCAAAGCCGTAGGACGGAGGAGACCATGACTCTGGTCCCCACTGCGCACCCTGTGGCTTTGTCCACCCTGTGGGAGTCGTGAACACATCCTGTCTCCCAGGCCTTGTGCGTGGGTTTCTGTGTGGGCTGCAGAAAGGCACAGCGCAATTCCGACCCTGTTTGATGGCCGAGACTGGTCCGCTGAGAAATGAACATCCCTTGCTGTTGCCATGGTTTTTTTTATCTGACATGGGATGAATCGCCTACTCTTCCTGCATGTTAGCTTCTGTGTCTGTAAAAGGGAGGCAGTAATACTTTTCATCTGTGGAAGCAGCATGAGATTTCCTTGGGGTGTGGAAAGCATTTTTAAAATACCAGGATGCTAGATGTGGTGTGCTGTGTGTATAACCCTTGAAGAACCTAAACTACCTAGTCATTAATAATTTGGAAATACAAAGCTAATTTTTTTAGTGGCAAACCAGAATGCACGCATAAATGATAGAGGGTGGATCATAACCAGATGGGAGATACTTAAATGAAAGATTGTTGTTGTTTTAGTGTGTTCTCCAGGCTAGGTAAAACAACTTTCCTATTTTTTGTAAGAAAGTATTAATGATTTACCTGGCTTTCCCACACTGTGAAGGGTTACTTTAATCTCGAGTTTAAGAAGTGCTAGGATTTGCTTTCCAGGTGGTGTTTACTCTGCATAAAATAAAATGTTGCTTCTTAGGACTTTATCATCATTTTTTTCTCTTTCATTATAGAAATCTTCCAGAATCCCTGAGGATGACATCAGGTTGAGAAAAAACAGAGACCAAAACTGTGCCAATTTCCTGGAGCCGGCTAGCGTGCTTGCTACAAAGGAAGAGAAAATGGAAATTGAAGTTCCAGTTTCTGAACACAAAAGCATCACCACAGTGGCTTCACCACATCCCACAGACAATCAAACTCCCTTCTTTTCCCCTGCTGCCGGCCACAATGGACTTAAGGACAGGCATGAATCTCTGGACAGTGAAGTTGCTAAAGAGATCAGATATCTCGATGAAGTGCTGGAGGCAAATTGCTGTGATTCTGCTGCAGATAATACCTTTAATGGGACATCCTCCCCTGAACCAGGTGCAGTCTCTGTTGCAGATGGCTCAGGAGCATCTGTTAATGTTACTAACGACTCAGTACCAGGTGAAAGGGACGAAAATGTAGCTGACAACCAGACACCCTTGGTGGCTGAACGAAATGAAGCTAATATAAATGATGAGAATGTGAAATCTAATGGCCATTCTTTGGGGGGATTGAAAGAAGACACTAGTGACAGTCTGAAGGTGCCTGGGAGTCCCGCTTCTTCAAACAGTTCTAGAAGATCTTCTAAGGACGGAGAAATAACTTTAACAACTCTTAAGAAAGAGGCTAAGTTTGAACTACGAGCCTTCCACGAAGACAAAAAACCATCTAAGCTCTTTGAAGAAGATGATGAGAAGGAAAAATACAGAGTCCGGAAAGTGAGACCGTCAGAGGAAATGATGGAACTTGAAAAGGAAAGAAGGGAACTTATTAAAAGCCAGGCTGTCAAGAAAAATCCCAGCATTGCCGCCAAATGGTGGAACCCTCCCCAAGAGAAGACCTTGGAAGAACAGCTAGATGAAGAGCATCTGGAGTCCCACAAGAAGTACAAGGAGCGCAAGGAGAGGCAGCAGCAGCAAGGTGCAACACCAACATCCCCCAAACAGGTCAGCTGCTCCTTTGTACCGCCAGAGCCGGTCAGTATCAAAAAAGAGGATATTGTCACAGAGCAAATTGATTTCTCAGCTGCCAGGAAGCAGTTCCAGCTAATGGAGCATTCAGGTCCATCTCAAGGTCAGGTCCCACCAAGGCGGTCAGGGACACCCAAAATGTTTTCCATCAAACCCTTCTACAAGAGCCTCAGTTCTTCGCATGTAGACAGGCCACTGTCCTCCATGGCAAGACCTGCTTCTGTCTGTGGACAAACCGGACAACTTGAGAGTAATGATGTCACTGTGGTCAAAGCACAAAAGGTTGCCTGTACCTCAGAGGAGGATGTGAATGCTCAGAGTAACATTGTTGACCCAGTAAGAGAGTTACCATGCAGTGACAGCTCCAGAGGTGGCCAGGCCTCAAAACTGTGGCCAGAGGATGGTGAATTCATGAGTGCAAGAGCAGTCTTCACCGTGGTGAAGGATGACGGACAGGGTGTGCTAGACCAGTTTTCAAAGTCAACCAGCGCCTCTTCCCCTCCAGAGGAACTAGACTCTGGCTTGGATGACTTGTCTGTAAGGTCCCAGGATACCACTGTCTTGGAGACCCTTTCCAATGACTTCAGCATGGACAACATCAGCGACAGTGGCGCCTCCAATGAGACTATGAGCGCCCTCCAGGAAAGCTCGCTGGCGGATTTCTCCCTGCCGCAGACCCCCCAGACTGACACTCCCGCGGAGTGCAGAGAGGAAGGTGTTTCCAAGTCCTTCAGCGACCCAGGCTTTGACTCACCACCCTCCACCTTGGCAGATTCCGTGCTGATCGATGACCAGTTGGAGTATCACGCTGGCCTGCTAGTTCAAAACGCAATTCAACAAGCCATAGCTGAGCAGGCAGACAAAACAAGCTGTAAGCAAGAGAAAATCATGGCAGAGCAGGAGATCTCAGTTGAAGAGCTGTCAGCCACTGGGCCAGTGCCGTGCCCTGAGGAGCAACAGAGCCCCATGTTTGAGCCACCCCAGGTGTCTTCTCCTGTTCAAGAAAAAAGGGATACAATACCAAAGACTTCAGAAGAGGAAGACTCAGGACTCAGGGAACGGAAGACTTTGCAGCCATCACCCATATCCTCAGCCAGCCAGCCATTCCTTGTGGAGGAAAATAGGCAAGAAGTCAGCTATTTTAGTAAGTATTCAGAGGCAGCTGAGCTGAGGAGCACCGCCTCTATCCTTGCCACACAAGAGCCTGAAGTGACCATGGGCCCTTTTAAGTTACGCTCGAGGAAGCAGCGGACATTGTCGATGATAGAAGAAGAGATCAGAGCAGCCCAGGAAAGAGAAGAGGAGCTGAAGAGGCAGAGGCAAGGTCTACAGGTCGCACCGAGCCCTCTTATGAAGAGCGCACCACCCATGCCCACCAGAACAGTGTCTTACAAAACTGCACCAGGTAAGAGCCCAAAGCGTAGGAGGGGAAACGAAACATGACCGTAGGGTCAGGTCGGATTCTTTGTTTGGCCTTTTTTGATGAATCCGTCACGCTTATTTTGCAGGGGGCAGAAGTGTTGTCCTGATTTTATCTGTGTGGAAACTGAAATATTTAAGCAGAGGGGTGGATTTTTGGGGGGGGGGGTGTATTTCCTCTGGAGGAAGGCCCGTGACAATCGCAGGTTTCTGTCTGCGAGCATGCATATGGGCGTTTTTGCTTTTTCCCAAATGCATTACATTAGAAACTTACCTACTACAGTGATCAGTCTATAAAAAACCCTAAGCTCTGTTCATCCCATGCCACCTCATAAGATGTCATGTTTGTCACTATGCTGCTTGAACCACCCACTGAAATTTGGGATCATCACCTGGAAAGACAGCAACATTTTTCACAGCCGTGTGGCTATTTGAATGATAAATGTACAAAGACTTTTTTTATTAAGGCTTTATATTCTCTTTTAAGTCATTAAGCAAATGTAAAGCTTTTTGAGATATGTAGATTTTCAGGGGTTGCATGGGATTTGTTTTTGTGTTTTCCTCTGCTGTTATCTGATATTTCTTGATTTTTCTAACAAACTTTGTCTGGTAAAAAGGTCTCCAGAGCTATGAGGTACCATTCAGTACTGGAGTTAAATAGGAGTACTGGAGTTAATCAGAAAGTGCTTAATAGAGTCATTAGAAGTCCTCTTCTGACTGATTAGCTGTTGCATTCATGTGCGTGCATTCACAACAGTTACAGTTTAGAAATCAGTAGCAAATTGTTCTCCCTTTCCCCTTTTAATAAATAAAATGAAGATCTCATGTTTTCTTAATATATCATAAAAAATATATTATAAAAATCAGAAGAAGATGCAGGCCCAGCTTGTTTCTTTGTAGTCATTATTGTGAGGGTAGATCTACATATACTTTAGAAGCCCTTAAAAGTTTTTATCAACAGTGACCTTCAGGAAGAAATAGATAAGATTACCCAGCGTGCTTAAATTCCATCCTTATTTCTGGTGATGTAAATCTGAGACAGCAGCACTTGACAGAAATTGTGGAGGATGATCCTTTTTTTTTGAAAGCCATGATAAGCTTGAGTTGGGTCTGCGTTTAGTCCATTGCCCAATCTGACTTTGAACACTGAGCATCATGCAGTGCATAAATAGCTAGCGCCTGGTTTCGTTTCTTCTATAAAGAGAATGATTTTAGTCTGTGTTTCTTGCCAAGACATGTAACAGATGTGATAATTTCTTTGGAGTGCTATTATTATTATGCCTATAGAACAATAATATTTGGAAGAGAATCTCCAGATATCGTAATAAATGGGATGTTTTGAACAATATTGTCTTGCAAGATGAGAGAGACATAGGATCATGGGCCTCAGCTAATACAGTTCTTCACTGTGTAAAAGTCTGAGGTAAGCTCATCCCTGCCTTCAAAAATAGCTTCATCTGTAGCTTCAAGTGCTTGAAATGCGACTGAAATTGCAAGTGATTTTGAAAGGACTGCTGTCTTTAATGCTTACCTGAAGGGAGTATCTCGAAAAACAGTATACTACTGCTACTTCTTATTTCTCTAGGTAATGAAGCATTTGCTTTGTGTTTGATGTTAACACATTCATTATAAATTACATTTTAATTAGAAAGTGAAACTCATAAGGAACCATTCCAGACAGTTTCTTTTAAATGTCCAATTGCTGTATGTTCAGGAAAGAAAATGTGGATCTATTGGCCAGTGACTTTAACTACTGCAGTTCGCAGCTGGTGACAATTCAAAGACCTAATTTCTAAGGAGAGCTATGTCTGTAACAATATGCAAGCATATCATCCATCAAAAAGAAAAAAAAAAGAGAACATTGCCATCCTTTTTAGCGTCTTTTTTAAAGCTGCTATTTCTAGTGCTGTTTTAAAACAGTGGATGCAGAGTTCTCAGCTGTTGTAAATTAGCCAGGCTGTCTTGGCCTTCCAGGACGAATACCCTCAGGTCGCCTCACCCTTGCTGTCCCTTTAGCCAGCTGTGTTGCACCTGAAGTTGCAGTCTTTATAAACGAAAGGGAGAAAGGATTCCATGTAATCCTTGAAGATTGCAGTAACTTTCTTTAGTGCATATTTGCAGTTCCTTTCTAATATTTACAAAAGCTGGGGCAAAAAGATGTTTCAGTGGAGGTAGCAAAATCTGACTGTAAAGCTTCTTTGGCTGCCAGTTACAAGGTGATTTATAGAGAGGAATAGCAAATCTACTTGTGATAGGTACTATAAAGAGTATGATGTAGAACATCGGATGTTGTAATATCTAAATTCACAGAGAAAAAAATAGTAATAGTTGGAGAAACAGGCGTTTCTGTCACCAAAGTGCCTTTCCTCAAGAAAGAAGCAGCAGTCGTCTTTTAACATCAGGGTACCTAGGCAGGAAGGCATTAGGGAGTCATGTCTAAATTTGAAAAATCTGTAACTAATCCTAAAATGGGGAGGCGTAAATTTACCAGAACTCTTTCAAGAAGGTGCCGTGATTAATTTCATTAGACATGACCTATCTATCAGGTTATTTTTTTGCAGTGCACGGGGCAGAGCAGTTTTAGTGGGACTCCTAATGTTCCCCAATTACTTAGTACTCCCATCTGATCTCACTGCTTTGAACTGTCATTCTGTGGATAACAGAAACACAAACCAAGGAAAAAAGGACTGCAGTGAACTCAGCTGCTATTTTGACTGAAATGTGGAAGATTAATGCATGCATGTGGGTGTACGTGTGAAATAGCTGCTAATTACTTCAGATAACAAACAAGCTGTTTTTGCCACCCTAACACACAACTTTCCATCACAGATAGTGACACTGAAATTCATGTCTGCCAACTGCTCAGCACAAGCCAGGGTGGCTCCCGATAATAAACCATTGTAACGTTGACATTTTAGGTGTTTCCTATAGTAAAGGTCAGAAGGTGCGATGAGTACTGAGGAAAATGCTTATATGTAACCAATGCGAGACTGGAACGCTAAGGGAGAAAGAAGCAATCAGACAGCAAACATCCTTTAAAACTGCTCCGGCTGTTGTGAAGCAGCCTTTCAACCCACTGTAATTTCATTGGAATGAGGACTAGGTATTGTGCATACACTGGACAAGATCATCTCCAAAACAGTGTTAGAAAGGAGAAAGAAAGAATCTTTGTGAATTTCTTTCTCAAAAAGTTACATTTGCATGAGAAAACCCAGTAACAGGCAAAAGAATTGCTTGAGGGTGCCTAAAGATAGGTATTGTGGATCCCAAAAGCAGTGTAGAACTATGTTTAAATATGAGCAGTTCCTGGGTTATTTAGCTGCAGCACCTGCGGCACTAGGCAAGGTGCTGAGCAGTTGCATAGCAGTGCAGTGGTTTGCCTCTGCCGTATGCAGGCAGCATACAGTGCCTCCAGGGCAGAACAGTGGGGACCCTTTGATAGTTTATTTGAACAGGATGGTGAGTGTGTGAGATGGGACACTCCAGTGTATATTTGCCAGTGTGGTCCCTTATTCCCTTTACGATGAGTACTTAGACTATCAGGAATTTGCATCTAACTTGATATAGCTAATGCCTGGCCCTAGTAATACTGCTCATCATAGGGAGCATGTTTTTGAGCTATGAAAACCATTACATGCAGGGGGGTGGCTCAGTTAAGGCTTTTTTGTTTGAGAGAAATCCTTCGTGAATATTTGCTGTCTCGTGTCTCGTGCCATGGGAAGTCACTAACGTGAGAAGCCATGCATGGTAGAAGCCTTCCCGAAGCTGCCACATCTTCTTTTTTGACATCTGTAAATAAACCTTTGCCACACAAGGCAGAAGGTGTGCACTCCCTGCACTCATGGGCAGAAGCTCAGCACCATCTGCATGCTCATCAGGGGGAACTTGGAGCCGAGTAGCCATCTTCTGTCATCTTAGTTAATTAATTAGATGGCAGAATTTCAGCAGATGGCAAAAGCCCAAGGGGGTTATTGCAGTTTATGAATGCAAGTAAGTATGCACTGATCTTTAAATTTCAGATAGCCATTCCCCCTTAAGGAACGTACGCATGCTGGCTTTCTTCTTCTGAATAACAGCTGCAGATGTAAGCCTCTATCAGAAGAGGCCACTTGCTTCTGAAACCATTTGCCACTCTCATTGTTCCCCACTAAATGCCTATTGTAAGGAAACTTCTTGGGTTCTACCGCAGCCTGATGATACTTTTTATGGGCCCCTGTCCCAGAGCCTCTCCTCAGCCAGCTTTTCATTGCCCTTGGTTTTGCAACCAGCCAGCTGTGCATGCGCAGCACATCGTTCCTCAGACTGCAGTGAGCACTTGCATACCTGTCAGGCTCCAAGGGGTGGATAAATCACCTTCTTCAAAACTCCTCTTGCTCCCAAGAACTGTGCAGATGTTTTGCTTAGGACAAAACAGATCTGGACCCAGGTCCTCCACACCTTTCATGCTGCACAGAGGTGTTTTCCAGCCACCAAACTAGGACATAACAGCAGCTCTGAGTTCCCTCTTCTCTGAGCTTCTTTCTCTTCCCCTCCCCAGGGTTAAGGAAGAGCATTCTCTATAAAAACAGCTGTTCCCTGCCTCTAAATAGCACAAGGGGCAGGAAGTGCAGAGAAATCAAATTCCAGGAGCTTCCTGGAAATTCAAATTCCCTAGTTTCTTGAAGCCAGAGTGGGGAAGAACTCTCACCAGAACTGAGGTCATAGAACCTTTTTCAGAGACCTTTTAAAAGGGCAAAAGAACATGAAGATTACAGGTGATTTCTGATGTTTTAGCTCGTACTCTCGGGCCTTGCCACAGCTCTAAAGGTGGCTTCAAGTGACTACCTAGAGGAGAAGATACTACTGATAACCGATAACTACTACAGTTTGCTGGTATCCCACAAGTGTTATCCTGTTTCTTTTGAGTTAGACCACAGCTCCATGATTATTCATTTTGGATTTGGGCAAGGATCACCAGCAGTGTCTGTATGGATCAGGTATGAGTGTAGGACCGCAGAAGAAGAAAGCACCTGTTTGCATGGTGTCTTATGATGGGTTTATGCTTTTTTGCTAGATGCATGAGGACATCTCCTGCACGATACAGTACCTTTTCTGGCTGAAAGCCTGCCAGAAGAGTATTAACCCATCAGCATTTTCAAGACAGTCTGAACTGGCAGAGTAAGTCTCTGCTGGTTCACGACCGTGTTTCAATTTCCTAATGTTTTTCCCTGGTGGTTTTGAGAGCCCTGAAGCTTCAGGCACTGCATCATCTAACCACAACCTCATCAAGGGTTGTGGCAGTTACTTCTGCCAGTGTTTTAACTGGTAGGATCTCTCTCTCTCACCTGGTTGCCTTCTTTCACAAAATTTTTTGGAACTTAAGAGAGAGACTTACTCTTCTGTCAAAAGTAGTTGAAATTAGGCCAGGAGTTGCCAAGTTTTTAGTGGAATACACATACGGAAATAGAGAAAATGGCTGTTTAAGTTCCATTTCTTCTGGACCCAAGCCAACAAACTGCTATTTTGCTGTGGGGAAATCTTTGTTCCGCCTTAGCTTCTCAAGCTCTGAAAAGGCAGCTGTGACACTGTTCACTGTGATGCTGCGCATGACATGCCCTGAACAGGCTCACATTGCTGCAGGATTGCTGTAGCAATACAGAAATTGATGCCCACTGACTCCGCCACCCAGGGCAGATGGATCACCTTGGAAAGATCCCCCCATCCAGAAATGCAGAGGAGCAGGGGTGGAAGGAGCATTTTTCAGGCATGGGGTTTGTCTGTGGTTCTGAGTAGCTATGACATGTTGCCTGTGTCCCTGGGGGGAAAACACAAAAGCTGGGTGGACAACTGAGAAGCTTGATTCTTCCTGTATTGCCTGTGTATGTCCAAGAGACTTATTTATTAGTGTAAAAGTGAGGTAATACAGCAATGTATCTAGCCCTTAATCAGGCCCCTTAGTGTCAACAGGCTTTTTACTCTGGATCTAAATAGCAGCCTGAAAGTTCTTCTCACTTTTTTCTTTCGGCTAGTTTTGGCTAACATGCATGGGTGCAGCTGGACAGCTCAGAACCTCTTGTTGGTCCTTGTTTTGGCAGTGTACTTCTCAGATATATATAGGGCCAGGCTGGTATAACCAAGAAGAACCTGGGCCTTTAGCGATACACCCTACAGCTCTGGAAGAGCGAGGCTGGGTTTGGGGATGAAATCCCAGCCTGATCCTTGCACAGGCCAGTTTAACTTAAGGTTGTAACAGGAAACTAGTGATGCTGGGATTTTCCATACTGGTCAGAAATGAAACAAGCCCAGCAAGGGGATTTCTTGTAAAAGGCATCTGTTGTGTTCGCTCAAGTTTCACTTCTTTCTTTAAAAATAAATCCGGCTGAGTCTTGCAGGAGCTTTCAAAGCTGCTCTCCAGTGGTTGCCAGGGTTATGACACTTTCTTGAGAAGCAGCTAGGTTTTTTGTTCATCTCAGTAAAACAAAGTTTCATGAAAATCCACCACGGTCCTTCTGGTTATTTTACCTATTTATGTTTTTTTCATCATCTGCCTCACCTCATTCCCCATCCCTTGGACAGTCTTATTTCCAAGAGCTTCCTTATCATGGAAAAGGAAACCTGATTTTGCTTCAGATTTCTTTTCCTTACCATAAGGTGTGTTTCTTTCTGGTGTGAACAGATGACTGACTGACTTACCCTCCAGCCAGGAGAGCAGAGGGCCTCATTCTTTCGTCTGCATGGAGAGGGGCACAGACATCCCATCCCTGTCTGCACTATGATCCTTTCCTTCCATCATCACTTCAGGAGGAGCCTCTGCACTTGCAGGAAGTAGTTCCAGGGAGAAGTGATACTGGGGACCTACCCAAAACCTTTTAGCTCTTACAAAGTAGATAGGACACACCAAAAGAAGAAAAAGAGCCAGCACGGTTTAAGTAGACTGCCTTCTTTGGACTTTTGAGTGAGTGTTCCCTGGAGTACAGTTTGGGATCTTGTGCATTTTATTGTCTGAGCATGAAGAAAATCACCCTGTAATTTTCCAGATCATGAGTTGTGTGGGAGAGAGAGGGGATAATTCAGCCAGATGTTGCCGTAAGCACTAGTTGTAGGTTAGATCTGCATTGTATCATTTGGTAACGTTGCTAGGTTTTATAAAAAGATTTTGTGATGTGTTGATATAGCAGATTTCAGGAAGAAGGGGGCCCTCTTTTAAACACCTGTGGACCGTTCTGCTTTACCAAATTGCTTCATAAACTTCATTCCATACTGTTTCTTTACTCAGACCCTGCTGAAAATATTTCTCCGGTTGTATTCTTTTGGAAGCAGCTTACAAGGCTGCTTGTAAGATCCATTTAGATGGATCTTACAAGATCCATTTAGAAAGCATCGTTCCTTTTCATGTCATTGCAGGAAAGATAGAGAAGATCAAGCCTCCTCCATCTCCAACCACCGAGGGACCCGTCTCACAGTCCGAGCTCCTGCCTGAGGAGCCTGCAGGAGCCCAGCGACCTAAGAACTTGATGCAGACTCTCATGGAGGATTATGAAACACACAAAACTAAGAGGCGAGAAAGGATGGATGACAGCAGTGTAAGTACACCTTTCCTCTTCACTCCTTGCTGTGCAGTATATACCGCAATTCATGAGAACCAAGATTCAGAAAATAAAATATTTAGCTACCTAGAACCTGCTCAGATCGTCTTGCAGGGGTTTAAAGATTTTAATACACTGTAGAACCCATATGTTTGAAATGGAAGGATAAGGGGCAGTGGGAAGGTAGAAAGAGGGATAATGCAAGTCTAAAAGGCAAATCATATTATTTTCCATTTTAATTATTTGATTTTATTTAAGTTAACCGTAAGGTCAGTGAGTAGCTGCCCTGCAATTGACCAACTGTTTTAATTCACACATCATGAAGACCCTGCAGTGAGCCGTTTTAGCTGTTCTTTGAACTTTGTGGATCAGGCATGTGTTCCTGCTGTGCCTGTTGACTCCCGAAGTCCAGTCCCAGCGTGCTCAGGGTTTCAACGTAAGTGGATAATTTCCCTGCAAACAGTCTTTCACACTGCTACAGTATTGGATTGGGAATGTTTCAAAAATGAACTTGGATTCCTCAATTGGCAGCTCGGCTTTTCCCACTAGAAATATGTCCTTCTTCCATATAGGTAGAAATGGAAAATTGGCCCAAGTTCTGCTTTCTGTTTGTGAAATTATCATTATAGAGTTTAACCTAATTATGATGTTCTTTATTGGAGGCAATAATAAGAGCAGCTATGCGTTTCACAGCTGAAAATATCGAAATTTAGGTACATACACTATACAGCCTGTTTCCAGCAAAGCACAAGGTGTTCCTCATTCACACTCAGTAATACTGTGGGCAAGGAATGCAGAATGTATAAGTGAGATATAAAATTCCTTAAACAAACACAGTTGTTATGCTTTGATGAAGCAGCAGCAATTTTGCAGGTATCTCCCAGACATTTCAGAAAGATGATCTCAGCTCCAACAAGCTTACACTCCAAACAAACGTCTTTCTAATAATCTTCATTTAGAGGTGGAGTCTTACGAGGTCTGTAGAAGGGAAGGTGTGTAATGTCAATACCAGCACACATAAGTCTAGCACTTTTTAATCATTACAGATGAATATTGTGCAGTAGCATAAGATACTTACTTAAAATTAGAAAGAATGACATGTGGAAGGGTCCTATTGCCTTTCGACTGGCTAACTAAAGCAGAGTAGAAGAGCTAATCTGAAGAGTAAACAGATGAATTTCTGGTTTACGCCAGAAATTTTCTGGTTCCTGCTTCCAGTGAAGTTGCTGAAAAATTTTCCACTGGCTTCACTGGAGCAAGATCAAATTGTCCATCAGGCTCCATGCCTCTGTGCAGAAGGAAGCTCACACAAAGAAACTTGCCTTATTTTGCCCGACAGTGGGACCATGCCTTGCAAATAAATTATTCTCCAGTTTCTCCTCTCTTTCCAGAGCATTCTGTCATTTATCAGCTGACTCCACCTACTGTATTGGGCAATTTTTATTAATAGCTCCCCAGGGGCACGTTTGAGATTTATTTCCCTGGTTGTCCACTGTCCTGCAGTGTCTCTGAATGGGGCTCAGAGGCTTTTGGGAGACATGTCATGTGCTCCTTCTGCCTTTGCAGAAACTGGGAGTAACTTTAATAAAGTGAGAGGCATAAGACTTAGGCAATCAAAAGCAGAACTGGCCCTCAAGAACCCTGCAGTTAACTTCAGTCAATCTCTTGGTTTGAAATCTTGGCACAGTGGAGAAGCTGCTTTGCTTAAGAGGAAACACACCGCCACACTCTCATCATCTGCTTTTCCTTGAGCTTCCTGATGAGTGAAGGTGCCTTACCCAGCCTGCTAAGCAGTGGTTTGTGGTTGAAGTCTTTTCACACAGTCGTGATGTAGTTGCGTGCTGTTTGTTTTACATGTTCTAGCACATATGAGACATTACAAGATGTCATCAGCCTGAAAGGCTGGATTAACTCTTCTCCATTACATGAGTGCAACTCCACTGATGTCTGCAAAGTTGCACATGCACCTCCTAGAAAAGAAGTTGGCCAGAATTGCCTTGTCGCTTATTGCAATTTGAAGTATGCCGTGATGTCTTGACGAGAACGCCGGTCTGGGCAGTGTCTCATAGAAAAGGAGTGCTGTGGGTATCAGCTCAGCTGTCCACTGCTGCTAAAACTGCTCAAGCACTTAACTACCCAGGGGTGTGCTGCCAGAGTGTTAGTGCCAGTCAGACAACTTCTGGGCCAGATCCTTTTCTGGAACAAATCGTCAAGGCTACACTGAATTTACAGAGTGCCAGTGAAGTCCTGTAGAGCTTCAGTTTGTTTTCATTCTCTCATTCTCTAAGCCTGTTACATGGAGCCAAACACGGCTGACATTCTTGCTGCAGCCTGGCTGAAATCCTCCTGGGGCAGAATCCTGCAGAGTTCAGCGACAGGATCCTCAAACCAGCTGCAATGTTTGTTTTCTCTTCCTTGTCTTTTTCTTCTCTCCTTTTGTAAATAATTCCCACTATGGACAGGGGAAAGAGAATTCAAATCAGAAGTGAGCTTTGCCTTGCTGCATGCACACCACCAACCTAGTATTTTACGTGCCAGGCTAAGCAATAATTATTTATAAACAACAAGTAGTTTTGATTTGTTTGCGGATGCCTTTTGACAATGTACTCTGGAAAAAGATCTCTGGATCTAATGAAACAGAGGAGCGCACCACTGGCCTGTTTTAAAAGTGTGTCTAATACAGTGTGGGAAGGAACATAACTGACAACCTGACAGGCAGCCGCCACTTTGAGCATTAAGTCCTGAGAAGTGGACTGTGGCTCAATATTGCTGTTCATCAGTGAGGGGAAGCGGAGACTTTCCCAGATACTGGAAGGAGTCAGTCTGTTGTGCCACTGTGCAAGCAGTGCACCTTGCAAGCTGAACAGAGTCAGCACTGCAGGTGCAGAAGTGAGCAGCTGCGGTTTTGGAGGTGGGATGGTCCAGAGGTTTAGTGTCCACTGACATGGAAATTCTGCAGCACGTGCTGAGAAAAATAGTAGTACTGGTGTTTAGAGCTTTTTTTTTAATTCCTACATAAGACACACCAAAAGGCAGGAGAGTAGTCTCACCAGGACATCTACCTGGCCTCTGGTGTAACCACGACCACTGCTGTCATACATCCCAGCTCCAGTAGTTGCAACATGGCAATGCCTGCTGGGGTCTGGGTTTGCTTTTCAGAGATAGAGGGCAAACCAACTGCATCTGCTCTTGGAAGAACTCTCCTGCTCAGGCAAGGGGACAGTTTCTTCCAAAGAGGATGTGTTACAGAAGAGGTGAAAGCCGGTGAGGAAAAAGAAAAAGGGGCAGCAGCAAGAAAGCTGTTCAATCACCAATGGTAAACAAGACTGAGACTGGCCAAGCAATGTCATTTAAAAAAACACTGAAATGACTAATCTTTTTTTTTTTTTTATGACACCAAGTTGCTTGAATCCTGTACTCTGGGATATGCCAGTTCTTGCCGTTTCCATAGTTTGTTCTTGTTTCCTAGTTGTAACATGCTTGTTCAATGTACTAATGCTGGTCTTTTCCCTTTCTACCAGTACACCTGTAAATTACTGTCTAGCAAGGTTACTTCTGAGGTACTTTTCAACTGCTTATTTATTTTTGCTTCCTCTTGCATGGTGATTCCAAATGCATGTTGCTGCAATTTGCATTTTTGTGCTGCCTGCCAGTGCTGTTTCATATCAAAGCCACGATGCAAATGCATACGGGGGATATTCCTTCTTATCTCCCATCAACAAATATATGTATGGCTGGTTTTCTAACTCTTGGATTCTCGTTACAGTTTCTGGAGTGGGAGGGATCGTAATTAGAGGGACGGGAGCAGTCGCCCGGGACTGGAACATTCCTGGGATGTGAAATGAGAACTCTTCCCCTCTCTAATCCCTGCTCTCATTTAGTGGGCAAAGCTAAACCTCAAGCAAACTCTGTCGCTGAGGAAAAATGCTGTGGCTTTCTTTTATCTGCAATTATAGTGTATATAACAGTATCAAAATATACAGCATTTTGTAAAAAATCAACATACCAACCTTTTCATCTTTGGAAGCGCAGAGTCAAATCCAAGCTTGCAGTCTCTGTTTGGTGAATTTTGTGTACTTGTCTTTGTCCCTATGCGTTACAGTAGTATGACTGATCACAGTCCCCCATCTTAGCACCGCTGCTGGTCTCTGCCTTGAAGAGGCCCACACCTGCTAAAGAAAGGGTGTTTTCACTTACGCTTGGTGTTTTATCACAATGTGTGAGGTGGAAACTTGCACAGTCTTTATTCCCTACAGAGCTGGACTCTGCCAAATGCTTCACCTTTAAGAGCAGGAAGTTGATACCAGCTGCATTTTTGCCATGTTTGTTAGGGATTATGCATTCAGCAATGCAAGCACTTGAATTACCTGTGATTTTCTGTGCAGGTCTGTGCATAAATCCAGACCTCTCTAAGAGACACAAACAGATCCTGGTATTAACTGACAATCATCTGTCTAGAATCAGAGATTTCATCACAAACACATACCTTCCACTATTTCTCCAATTCTGTAAAATATTTTGACCCCCAAGAGCTGCTCCAAGATAAGTGTCTGAACATTTTGTGTCCTCAAAAGTAAAGCAAAGTAAAACCCATCTCATTTCCTATTCATGAGTGTGTGTTTGTCTCGCTGATACGATGATATGTCTTGTGTAGACCATCTATAGATTTAGTCAGTGCAGGAGCAGCGTGCTTAGCAAGACCTGGGCCTCTTCTCCCTCGTAATGGCTGTGAAATAATCTGGGTTACAATTTATGAATAGTCAGTCATGGTCAGAGCATTTGATGTGGTGTAGGAGACAGAAGCTCAGGTGTCGATTTTAGGGGCCTAACTCATGGCCCCTTCGGCTGGGAGCAGTTACTGTCTTCTTGTGACACGGATATTGACGCAAGGAGTGGTAAGCTAGAAAATAATGAGTGTAAATGGGAAAGGTGTGAAAGATGAAAACTGCTGTTGTAAAAAACTGTGATTTTCTGTACAGGGGGAAATATGCCACCTG